GCATGAAAATTCAAGAACAAAATGGATTAAACATAAAAAAACTTTGAATTTGGTTTGAATATTCGATCATTTGTTCATCATTAATTACTACTAAACAACTTTAAAAACCCATCAATAACAACCATCAAACATCAATTTTTTAATTAAACTTTTGCTCAAACATGTTAACTTGCCAAACATCATAAAAACATAATCTAATGCATGGATCAAATAGCTATTAACTGCAAAAGAAATGAAGCAAGGTTCGGCTAAACAAAAGCACATCATGGTTGAACTTGCCTAGCATACTCCCTAAGCATGCTTTCTCCCATTTTATCCAAACAAGTATTAATCATTTAAAACTTACCTCACGAAGGGATTTATAGCATTAAAACAATCTTAACAAAAATATAATGATCCAAGAATGGCAAAGAAATCATGAGAACAAAAATAATACTGAAACAACTAAATATACACCTAACCAACCAAAAATCATGCTAAACAATATTATATTTATCATTTAATTATTATAAGCCACCTTTTAAAGCAACAAGATATGAAAGAAGGCTAAGAGGAGGTTCAGCCAAACAAGAGCACACTATGGCCGAACCTCTAACTTGATTTTCTATGATGGGTTTGTGGTTTTTATAACTTGAATTTTGGCTTCAATCCAACTATGATTAATTAGATGAAGTTGGTCCAAGTTTCAAGTAAACAAAAATGAACTAAAAAGCTTTAAAAAAAACAATGAAAATGGAGTGAAATAACATAAAAATGCTATGAAATGTGATTGAAAATACAAGAAAATGGGAAATGGGGGTTAAGAAAGTATACCTTCAAAACCAAACATAAAGAAATTTTCTTTTCTTTTTTTGTTCTCATGATTTTTCCTTAAATTTTTTTTCCTTTTCCACGAGTTCCTTTGGTTTTCTCTCTTTCATTCAGAATGTCCCTCCCTTGGTAGAAAATTGTGAAAAATATCTTTGAAAGATTGAATTAGGGCCCTAAGATTAAAACATCATCCAAAGGTCAAAATTTCCCCCTTGTTTTTAATCCAAGGAGCAAACTTTAGCCATTGGATCAACATTCCTCATGAGATCTAAGGGTTCACATTGTTCACTGCAAAGATTGGATTTTTATAGCCATTAAACTAAGTGAAAAGACAATTTTACCTTTAGTACAAAGATTTCGGTATTTATTCATTTTCTTAGAAATCAATATTGCCATGCTCAAATTTATGATTTTAAAGCACCAAAATCATGAAACATTATGAAATTAAGATCTAGAAATTTTCATGAAAATCTAACCTTGAGAAAGTCAAATTATGAAATTACTCCTAAGGGGTATTTTCGTAATTTCACACCTCTCGAGGTATTGTTATAATTATGAATGTACCAAAAATCATCAAATATTATAAAATCATTATCTCAAAAGTTTTGCGAAAAACTAACCTTGGAAGGTCAAATCACAAAAATACGCCTAAGGGCATTTTGATAATTTCATACCTCATGAGGTACAATCAAAGTTTTCAAAATTCGAAAAGTCATCAAATAACATCAAACTATGATCTAGAGCATTTTGTGAAACTTCAACCCTGGAAAGGTCAAATTACAAAAATACTACTAAAGGGTATTTTTATAATTTCACATATCTTAAGGTGTGATATAAGTTTTCGATGCATAAAAAATCATTAAAAAAATTTCAATAATGATTTGGAGATTTCCACGAAAATTTTACTTTGAGAAAGTCAAATTACAAAAATACTCGTAAGGACGTTTCGATAATTTTACATTTACCTAATTACAATTAAACTTTTTAGTGCTTTAAAAATCACAAACTTCAATTTCAAACCACAGTGATTCCAAATTGGTTGTAAATTTTGAATGCTGATTGGGTTCTATTCATTTTTATCAAGTTTTGTCTAATTTTAACTTTGTTTGATAAATTTTTTATTATATTTAAATAGAGTTGATTTGGAGCATTTGGGTCAAATTGATCCAAATTTAAATTTTAGAAACTAATTAAAATTGAAGAAATGTTGGATTGGAAGAATTTCATAAATGACCAACATTTGCCCAAACAAAATTACGTGTCTACATATATCATGTGTGCATCACCTTATTCAATTCAAAGTATATTTTATTTTTTGTCCCAAAATTCTTATTATTTTTCTTATTGGATTTCATTCAACATTATATAATTTTATTTATTTATTATTTTTATTTTATATTTAAATAACACTTGATGTCTCAATACGAGTCTAGTAATAATAATAATAAAAAGCTTAAAGTGTCATCCTTTATGTTTTAACAAGGATGGGACATAATAGATTAAACATAGTCGGGTCGACAGTGGGTGAGTAGAGAAATAGGATACTTTGTCCCATTCTAGAATATATTATGTATAATAAATTTGTCCTGTCCTGTTTCTACAATAACAATATCATCTTATATCTTATATAAATATATAAAAGTCAAAACCTTTAATAAAAAAATAAAATTATCCAATGTGAATTATTTTGACATTTGTACACTCTTAAATAAATGACATGCATCATATATAAATACCTTTTATTTTATTTGATTTGATGCATTTTAATTTTAAAAAAATTAACATTCTTAAATTGATTTGATTCATCTTTAATGTAAAAAAGTAAATTTATTTCATTTAAATTATTGCCTTTATTCTCTTTTACATTTTCATTAGTCTTGCCTTACATAAATAAGTTTCAATTTTATTTGTAATCGAAGTTTATATTCTCTTATTGTTATTGACCTTAAATTACTTTTAATTAAATTTTATTCTTGATTCTTAACATTCAACTTCAACATCATAAATACAACTATGCTTTGGTGCATTACAATTACAAATAATAGTATTGATTCGGTCTGCTCCATACTTCTACTATGTTTTGTTTCTTTTCTTTTTTCTTTTTTATTTGTTCCATTAGTTTGTTTCTTCTTGCTTCCATTTGTTTTATTCTCTTTCATGTCAAAGTGTGATTTCTTTTATTATTTTTTAATATTAAGATTCAGTTTTTGCGAAAAAAAAAAAAGAAAAAAAAGAAGAGTTTGCTTTTAATTCTTAAAATAATGTTAGTATAACATACACGTACGTTCATGTGTAATAGTTACCTACACAATCCAAAATGACTTGCTTTTATTTTGTCTTTTATTTAATTTTTAGTTAATTTTTTTAATGATTTAGTTTCTAATTTTTATGTGCAATGTTTGTATGCTATGTGATTAATATTTGCTACAAAATTTAACCAGCTTTAAAAATTGTCAATAAGTTGTTGCCAGGAACATTTTTCATCTCAAATGCCACAGTGAAAGATCACTGCACATAAAAAATTAGACTATGGTACACAAGGAAATGTCCAAGAAAATATGGATACCTTGCATTTATTGATCTTGCACTCTGTATCATATTCTTCTAACCTGAAATGTTAATTGTCCAATTGATAGTCAACTTTGAGGTTTATCTCTCGGGTTCGGAGGTGCATGTGGTAGATATTGCTGCAGTTGCTAATTGGATCTTAGATCTTATTATGGCTTAGTCCTTTTTATCACTTACAAAATTGATAGGAACTTATTAAATATTCCTAATATTTAGAGTCATTTTAGTGGTGGCTTTACCCTTCGTAATTATCTATGTGCCGGAAACAAAGGAGATGCCTACTCGAGGAGATTGAGAAGATGCTGGAGGTTAGAGCTTTGCACTTCAAAGTTATGGGAGAAAAGTTACAATCCACAATAAAAGAGCCAAGCGATAAGAACAAACAGAAGGAAAACGTTGAACAAATTGAAAGCCTAATCATTAATATTGCACCGAAACATTAGACTCAGTCATTGATGCATAAATTTTTTCTATTATATGTCAAGTCTATTATTTTATGATACACTTTACACATAAATTTCCTTTGTTACTGCAATCCATTTTAAGTTTTAATTAAATATGATTTAAATCATTATACATTGCCATCATTTTAGATTGTATTCAGATGATGGTGCCTTCGTTTTAAAAATTTAGACTATTGCCACTCGGAAGAAAATTCATTTATAATAAAAATTATTAAATGTGTCTTTAAAATTTTTTATGCTAATTGAGACAATAAATATTGATAACAAAAATTAAAAATTATTTTGTTGCCAAATTGACTCATTTTATATGGTTAATACTATATAAGAATAGAAATATGCTTTTGTGACTAATATTTAATAATTAATAATGAAAAGAATTTAAATTTAAATTATTATTGAAAGACAAAATTTCAATTTATATATTCTCGTTCTAAGATTTCTTTTCTAGCAACTAAGGAAAGAATCAATTTGAGTTACTTCCAATTAATTAAAACTTATAAAAACACATTTAAAAAATTTATTACCTAAGAATAGGAGTGTGCTTGGATTGTTTGGTTCTGCTTATCATAAATTTAGTAATTTTGGCTCTTAGAACTATCTCTTTAATATATCTAATATAAATAAAAAAAAAGGGAATTTTTTTTATACACATAGTCAAACTTATTAAAATGTGAAAATCTTGAAAAATCATCATCTTTTAAGTGAAATTGTTTTGATTTGATTTAATTTAATTTTAATTTAAAGATTTATTACGAACAATAAATTGTATTTGTTTCCTTAAGTATTTTTTGTTTAATTACATTTTACATTTTTCATAAACTTGATGACAATGCATATCAATTAATACAAGTTCAAATTTTAAAGCTAAATTCAATTCACAATCAAAGAATAATTTTTTTTTTTTTTGAAATGAAACTGTCTTTGATTTATGTAATAATGCTTTCCTGGAGTTAAATCAGATATAATAGTAGGACACTCATCAATCCATTGTATCTCCTCTGTTGGTGCTGTGATTGCAAACTTTGCCAGTCTATGCACAGCTCCACTGGCCATCCTCCTTGTATGTTTCATTGAGAAATGAATGAAGCTTTGCCCTACACATTTTGCATCCTGGATGAGTTCCCGAATCAAAGATAGACTCTCCTCCTTAGCCATAACCTAGTTCAATACCTCCAGCGAATCACCTTCCACAATTACCGATTGTAATCCCAACTGTCTGGAAAATATAATTGCTTTGTTCATGGCTAAGGCTTCTGCAACACTTGGATCATTGACCTGTGCAATCCTGCATGAACATGCTCTTAACACCTTGCCTGCCGCATCCCTCTCAATTGCGCCTGCCCCGTCTACACTTTCTTCCATTTTGTGTTCTCCATCAAAATTCGCATTAGCATAGCCAGCTTCAGCCGATCTCCATTTTATGTTCTCATGTGTGGTCTGTGTGTCTGACCGTTTTTGGGTTGCCAAATACTCCTCCAAATAGCTTCTAGCATATGCCATTACTTCATCAGTTGTTCTACCAGGATTGATTCTAATCTCCTCATTCCTGTTGTTCCACAGAACCCAGCATACGGTCAGTCCCATCTCCATATTGGATCGATCTTCTGCTTCCCACATGCTGCTTAACCATCCCTTTTCACTATCAAGGTCTGCCCTCTTCCATTTATCACCCCAACATTCCATTTTCCAAACTTCACAAGCCGGTGGACATCTTTTGATCACATGCATAATTGTTTCCTCCTCCTGTCCACACCTTGGGCACATTTCCTGGGTCTCTATTCCTCCTCTCCTTAGGTTGTAGAAAACTGGCAGTATCCTTGCATTTAGCCTCTAACCAAACATTTTAGGTTTTGGGGGAATATGAAGTTTCCATAGTTGCTTCTAGAAGGCATCAATATTGCAATCGTTTGTATCATTCGCAGCTTGTCAGGTAAGTAGACGATAGGCACTCTTCACTGTATACTCCCCCTTCCTTTCCAGTCCCCATACAAGTGTGTATTCCCTGCTTACACGTCCCAATGGTATACAACAAATCTTCTTCACCTCTTCACTGGAGAACAGTTGATGCAGTTCCTTCTCCTTCCACCTTTGGTCTTGTGAGTTAATGAGGTTTGCCACCAAGTTGTAAGTTGCCTCCCGTGTTGCATCTCCATGGGGTGCTATCTTCGTTCCTGGTTTTTTCCATGCATCATGCCAAGTCCGAGTTGTGTTACCATTCCCCACTCTTCATTGCAGACCCATTTCCAGTACCTTTTTTGCTACCCATACACTACGCCATGTAAGTGAAGGGTTCACTCCTAAATCAGTTTCCATAAAAGCTGTGTTGGGAAATATTTTGCCTTAAGCACCTCATGAACCAGTGACTACGGCCACTTTAGGATTCTCCAACCTTGTTTGCCCAACAGTGCTGCATTGAATTTTGTTGCATCTGTAAAGCCCATCCCTCCCACCGATTTGCTTTGACATAGTTTCTCCCAATTGACCCAATGAATTTTCCGTCCCTATGGCTTTGATCTCCACCAAAATTGGCTCACAATGCTGTTATTTCATCACATAAATCTTTTGGTAGAAGAAAACAGCTCATAGAATATATTGGCACTGCTTGGAATATTGCTTTTAGATACACTTCTTTCCCACTTTTCGATAACATTCTGCCGCTCCAGTTCTGTGTCCTACTTAGCCTATTGGTAATTTCCTTGAAAGCCAGTTTCTTCCCTCTACCCACCATCGTAGACACACCCAAGTATTTCTCTGGATTTGTCGTTATCTAGATCCCAAATATATGTTTCACCCCTTCCATGTTATCTTCGGATGTGTTCTTGCTGAAGAATAATGAGGACTTATCATGTTATATAGATCCGTAGATTTATCATTAGACATAGATTTAGAAGTCGTTATCAATATTTTTGTTTAAGTGCGATTGACTATCTAACTGAATTTGTCACATTTTAAAAAGAAGTACTAAGCTTAATTTAATTATTTTTAAATAGTAGATTTTAGTGTACGAAATCATATTTAAGTTTGAGACTACGATTATGCGTAAAAGGGTTATAGCACCCTCATAAAGCTCATCAAAAGGATGGTACCAATTTGATTTCAAGTTATCCAAGCCTAAAAACATCTTTATAATTTGTCAAATAATTTAATTCTTGAAAATTAATCCTAAAATTACTCTAATAGTGTGGCATTAATTTAAAATAATTTTCTCATCTTAGGAGTATTTATAGAGATTAATGTCTCACTCTAAAAAGACTCCGTTATTGGATTCATATAAATTTTATTTAAATTAATAATCAATAAAAATCTTTCAATAATTTGATAAGATTTATTTTGATGTAGATCCCTCAATAATATGGTAAGATTTTATTGTAAAATTGTGTATGAAATATATTTAAAGAAAATTCATTAAACCTTTCAATAGTTTGATAAGATTTAAGTCAATATTTAAATCTTTCAATAGTTTGGTAGGATTGAAAATTTTATTATTATTATTTTTAAAAAATTTATTAAGTCTTCAAATAGTTTAGTAAGACTTAATTCAATATTTAAATCTACCAATAATTTAGTAGGATTGAAAATTTTATTTTTTTTTCAAAAAATTCATTATGAAATTCTCAAATAGTTTAATAGAATTTATAATACAAAATTTCTAAACCCATGAAATAAAAAATTCATAATTTAAAACTTGCAATTTTTAAATTTTATTTTAAACATACATAAAAAATGAAATAAATAAAAAATATATATATCAATAAACAAAACGTGAAAATTACCAAAATGAATGGAGACATACTTAGGTGGAAGTATCCCTTGATCTATAGTGGTAGATACTTATCAATTCCAACCAAAGAGCTTAAGTATAGATTGCTACTCATCCATTTTCTAATGAGTTTCCCCCCTTTTTTTATCATAAATTTGAGTCCTTAATATAAGGTTTCAAGCAATTTCAATTTGGAAAATAATCAATTCTAGAATTTATAATTTTGGTGATTTTATTTGATTCAATTATGTGATTTTGCATGTATTTAGTCCCAAGAAAATAAAATCATTGAATCCAAGATCTTCAATTCACACTATTCTTCTTTTGGGTTTTCAAACTTTCTTTTTTCCTTTTTGGCTTTTTTACCTTTTTTTTTTTTTTTACTTTTGACTATAAATAATAAAACTAAAATTAAATACCAAAATTAACATTAGGACCAAAATTAAAACTAAAAAATTAAAATTAATGGCTCCTAATTCTTGGGCTCAAAACTTTTCGATCAAGGCCCAATTTATGGTATAAGGCCTGGTTCAATTTTGGAAAAATTCTCAGACAAATTTGAGTGTCTACAGTTGGGGTTTACACAGTTTTTATGAAACAAAAATTTTGCAAAGACAAAAGATATCCATTTTATTCGGGTTCAAAAAAATCGAAAACTTTTTTAAAACTAGAAATCCAAAGATTCATAATTTGGAAATTCAAGGGTTTGTGTCAACGATTCATAAAGTTGTATAACAAAAATTGAAAGATTCCAAGACTCCAAGATTTGCAAAAGATTCAAGATTCGTAAATATTTTTAGATTCGCAAAAATTTCAAGTTTTGCAAAGATCTCAAAAGTTCGTAAATAACTCAAGATCTCAAAGGTTCCCTAATCACAAAGATTCCAGGTTCACAAGATTCCAAGTTTTGTGGAGTTTCCAGATTCATAAGGATTTCAAATTTTGCAAAGATTCTAAGTTTCAGAAGATTCCAAGTTTCATAGAGGTTCCAGTTTTGCAAAGACTTTTAGATTTGCAAGAATGGAAGATTCACAAAACTTTTAGTTTAACAAGAATTTCAGGTTTGTAAGAACTCAGAGATTTGCAAGAATTTGTAAGAGTTTTAGGTTCGTAAGAGTTGGAAAATTCATAAAACTTTCAGATTCGTAAGAATTTTAGGTTTGCAAGAAATAAAAAATTAGTAAAATTTTTAGATTCTTAAGAACTTTAGATCGAAGATTAACAAAAACTTCAAATTTGCAAGAATTTCAAATTTGTAAAGATTTGTAAACTATACTTCACAAATAAGATTCAAATATTTGCATTCAAAAGATTTAAAATTTCATATAAAAAATTTAGGATTCACATAAAGATTTCATGGTGTACAGCTAAAATTCTCATTCAAAAAATTTCAAGGTTTCACATCCAAAAGTTAAAGATTTTACTTCAAAAAACTTAGAGATACACATCAAAAATTTCAAAAATTCACATTCAAAAACTTTAATATTTCACAACCAAAATTTCAAATATACTCATTCGAAAAATTCTGAGTTTTACATCCATAATTTCAAAGATTCACATTAAAAATTTTAGAGATTCACATCCAAAATTTTAAAAATTCACATTCAAAAAATTTTAGAGATTCACATCTAAAATCTCAAATGTTAAAATTTTAAAGATTCTCATTCGATAAAAGGTTTTTTTTAAACAAATGCTTTATGACTTTAAAAGTTTGGAAAATTTTCTTTTTCCAAAAAATCTCATCATGAAATATCTTCTTCATTTGAGGATTCAAAAGTCAAAAGTTTTCTCTAATCAAAGACAAATTCTTGTATGCGACAAATGTCATGTAAATGCAACAATCTAGATTCTCACTAAATGATGCAAATGCATGTTTTAAATAATAATACAAATGCCATACTATGATTCAAATGTTCACTACATGATGCCAATGCATGCCCCAATCATGATGCAAATGCAATGTTCAAATAATGATTTAGATACTCACCAAATAAACACAGATGCATGGTACAAACAAATAATGATACAAATGCAATATCCAAAACAATGGTTTAAATATTCACCAAATAATGTAGATTCATGGTCCAATCAATTATGCAACTTAGAAATTCCCCAAAATGATGCATTTTTAGTTTAGTAGATGCAGTTATCAAAATAAAACATTTTTGCTGCCCTAGAAAAGTCACTCTTGTCATATTGATTTGAAAATCTTTTTCTCACATTCATCAAAATTCATATATACAACACTTCAAATTTGAAAATTTTCAAAAACTCCTAAAAGAATGGTAATCAACTGTCCCAAAAATTATCTTACATACCACTTTTCCATGACCAAATTGTATTAACATGTGACATTTAAATCTCTTGAAAATTGGTGATTACTACCTAGAATGAATTAGGAGGATCTTGGTCTTTTCGAAAGGAAAAAATGGTTTGGCGTATCAGGATTTCGGCGATTAAGAAGAACTATGTCATTGAATAAAAAATAAAATCACTATTTCTTCATCTAAGTTCACAAATGAAAGTTTAAATTTGAAAAATGAACCTTTTTTAAAGCACAATTCATTTTGGCACTCCCTTAGATTCTTGGGATGGGGAATTTTAACAAATGTTAAGACTAATAGTGATAGGTTAAAAATTTCTATGAAAGAAAGAAATACTCAAATTTCAAAACAAATCTTCAAATTGGGGTTTATCTTTTTGAATTTTTAAAAGGTCTTCATTATTTATTGGCTCCTTCAAAATCACTTTCTCTAATGAACTTGCTTAAGTTGCTTTTAAAGTTGCTCTAGACTTTCCTTTCAGGTTTTCACCCTAGAGCTTTATTCAATGTTTTTCTTTTTTTTTTTCTCACTATTCCATCATGCATTTGAAAACTCAAAATCCATCTAAAATCCAAAAGAGATGGTGATTTTTCTAAGAAAAGTTTTTCAATTTAGATACCCACATTTGATCAAAATGAACTTTTCAAATGATGTAACATAGGCCAAAGTTTAGGGTTTTA